TTATTCCCGAGCCCGTTCCGCAGGAAGACGGCGAATGGGACACCTGAAGACTCCGTAGTTATATTTATAGCTTTTATTTTCGAGTTTCTCTTTTAGTTAGTTTGTTCTTTTATACTTTGAGCACGTTTTTGGCTTTAGTGTAAGGGATGTTAATCAAAATTTTTATTACGCTTCCGCATTTGACCTTTTTAATATACATATTTCATTTTAAAATTCCTGGGTTGTTACAATTAAAGTAATGATTAGATACTTTCGTACCCATTATAAGCATGGGTATGGAAAGTAAAAGTATGCTATTAGTGTGAGTGGTAATAAAAAGTAATGGCTCTAAGCTTAGCTCCTTCGCCAAATTATTCTCATTGAATTTTAGATTTTTTATTATGATCCTTAAAAACGATTCTTTTTACTTTTTCATTACGTTACTTATATGTTATCGATCATTGAAGAATATGTAGGCTTTAAGGTTGGTCCCCATTTTATTGGTTTAAAGTAATTAAACTTTAAACACATTATATATTGCTAAGAATGATCAAACTACAGTAATAAATTTATAAGACTATCATCTTATTTGACTATATCTTTTGACTTTTTTACTGTTGGTGTTAATTGCATCCTTCACTAATATAATGTGTTTAATAATTTTCTCATCATTGAACCCTCAATAAATGGAGTGAAATTTGGTAACAAAGAAGTTTACACTTTGCTACAATTAGTCTTCGTATTTGTTTTTCTTTAATCACTACTTACATAGTCTCAGTTTATTTTTTTTTCTTTTACATAGATGTTTTAGTTCACTAAGTTTTCAAAGTCTAAAGAACAAGGACTAACCATAGAGCTTGGATATAGTTCTCCAAAATTAGAGATCTGTGGATCACATAAGATCACCTCCTCGTGCCCTTTCACTTATAGAAATGTCATTCCTTTTAAATTCTCAGGCATCCATCCAATGCATGTTTTCGCTCTTGTGCTCATAGTATGGTAGATTTAGCGTCAACCTAATATTGGGAAAAAAACAAAAACTATAAGAACATACATAAAAAATCCTTATCTTTAGTATCAATTAATGCTTTATTATTATATTGTTATAACCTTAAATAACTATAAGCTTTTTCTTTATTTTGTTTTCTTTAGTTACAATGGGGTGGAGAATCATAATTCAGCTTCATTCCCGGAGGAGCAATTAAACTCGAACTTTCATTATATTCCCTCTAATTGAACTACTTACTTGAACCAAAGAAAACCTTTCCATTTAAAGAAACCCACCCAAACAAAGGAAGGTTAGCTAGTTTATAGGAGTTGAATCTCCATAAATTCCTTAACTCTTTAATATGATATTAAAGTTCTTTGTCTACTTAATTGAGAGAGCTAATTTTGAAAATATTGCTTTCACTTAGTAATTTAGACTACTCTTAACCTTTTTTTTTCTTAAAAAAATATTTCTCTTTCGAGATGTGAAGTTCATGTCATAAAGAGATATTTTTATCTTTCATAAATTATAAAATGCATCATTTTTATTAGTATCGTGTAATTCTTGCTTCTTATCAGTACAAAAAAGATAGAAAACTAGTAATCCAATATTTATTAAATATTTGTCAATTAATGCATTTATTTAAGATTTAAGTTAGATAGATCATAGATGTTTATGCTTTCAAACATCGTGCAAAGACTTATATGACACAAAAAAAAAAAGGAAAAATGGGTTGACGATTCTTCTCAATGCTAGTTTAAGTCGATATTATTAAAAAAATACTTTATAAGTAAAATGAGTCAAGCAAGCACGTTGGAGGGCATAAGAGATACTTTTACTTTAAGAAAAATAATGCAAACTCTTTAATTTAGTCATACTTTTTATTGTTCTGTACAAAATAATTGAGTCAATTTTTTTTTTTTTGGTTAAAATTGATTGATACAAATGACTATCATTTCAATAACGTATAGGCAAAATAGAATTAAAATTATATTTTGTAAAAGACAAATAAGTTATCACATTTGAATATAATAAAATTATAATAACGGTCTTTATATAAAATAGATTAAAAAAAGTAAGCACGTATCATTATTGAATAACTTAAAATATAGATGAGCTCTTTCCTTAATTTTGGTTAATTTTGTTTATAAAATTAAATTATATTATCATTATCTATAATAAATAACAATATTTTTTTTATCAAATTATAGTAACAAAAATGGCAAAATATGAACATCATACTAATATTATCAATACCTTAATACATTACTAAATAGATGGAATAATAATAAGGTTTACTTTAAAATCATGTCATGAATTGATAGAGCATATAATTCAAGAGCTTGGAGTTACCTAAGAATTAACAAATAAGAATTATATGATAAAACAACATTCCTCCATGTGAGCAAATATGAATCAATTAATTAATAATTATATATTTTTTATATCAAGTAATGCATTTATAAGTGATAAAATTGCTAAAAGTTAACATATTTAAATAAAATATTAATCATATCGTATGTAAATTTTTACAATAATAATTTTATTTTTTTATTTAAGTATCTAATTGTACTTGAAATTTTGTAATATTAAAATTTTTGATAGATAATTATTAAATAAATAATTATATTATTATAGGAATTTTATTTTTTACTATTTGTATATTCTATAACTTGTACTTACGTTTAAATTAGTTATTATTTAAGTATATATATTATATGCGACGAATAATATTTAAAAAGTACCAATTATTCTCTATATGAATAAATAAAAACTAATTAATCAATAATTAAGTACATTCATACCAAACAAACCTTTATAAGTGATGAATTAAAGCTTATTATTTTCTAAAAAATTATCATAGTTTTTTTTTTTGTCTGATATGCACATTGTATGTATCAACTTATTATTTTATGTTATTTTTATTTATTGATTAATGCAATAAAAAATTGAAAAGCTAAACAACTTATTTGATGTGTTAGATATCTTTTTGTTACATGGTGAATAAAGTATGATTTTTACTTGTAATTTTACTCAGATAAATCTTATATCATCTTATTCATATATGGAACTGGTGTAATCTTTACTATACTAAGCAACATTAATTTACTATATGCATGATGCAGAAAAATTTGATTTTAAATTTAATAAAATTTTATGAGTATACATTCTATATAATATGTTTAATAATAAAAAATATCTTTTAATTAACGACCTATTTAATCATATGAGATAAAAAATGTTAAAAGATTATCATTATTAATAAGTGTGGTGTATTATATATATTTAGTTATTAGATATTTAATAATGATTAGTTCTTAAAATTAATAATATTTTAATTTTCTAGGATGACATGTATGCCCAGTTCCTTCTATGATTCTTTTTCATTTGAACTTGGGGCGTCTTCCCGTTTACAAGTCGAAACCTTAAACCCTAATATTTCAGAGTTTCCCTCTCTCTCTCTCTCTATGATGTACAGATATGAAAGCCCTAAAGTCATTTTGCACTAATAAACACTTGCTTCTCTTTAACCTGGCTATTAAAACCCCTGTATCATTTTCATTTTCTTCCCGCCAAAACCTCGTATTTCCCCGCCATTTCCACGTAACCAGTCTCCGTTTCCGCGTTGAAGATTCCAGTCTCGCAGCCATCGGTTCCTTCAACAACGAACCTGACTTGAGTCGGAGCGGTCATGGAAACGAAAACTCCGCTGGTGTTGGGTCTGTCTACAATCCAGTCGCGGGCGAAACCTTTACGAGACCATGCATAAACAGGAACGGAGGACAAGAATTCGATCGTAGTTCGTGGAGTTCCGGTTCCTGGGTGGATGATTTTCAGAGGACTAGGGCGTCTGGGAGTGTGAAGAAAGCAAATGCAAGTAACAGGGGCAACACTGACGCGGATACTTCCGATGCTTATAATTGGATTGATAATTTTGAGGGAGAGGAAACTTATGGCAGAGTGAGGGGGGAAAATTTGACTGCTGGAGACGATATTCGGCTGGGTTCATCCAGCTCCGATGATGGAACTAACGACCTTTTCAAGGAAAAAGCTAACAAGGGCGTGAAAAAGGCGAATTCAAGTAGTGTGTCATGGCATGAATTCAGGCTGGGTGGTATAGTGAGAAATAAGAAGAAGGTGAAGGAGAAAGTGAGTTGGGTTTGCACAGAATGTGGCCATTCAGAAGGACAGTGGTGGGGGAGTTGCCGCGAGTGCAATAGCGTGGGGACGGTTAAACAGTTTACTGAAGCTTCTGAATCTGGTGATAATGGTAAGGGCAGGGGGCTTGAGTTTTCAGCTAATGCTGTGCGGTCCTGGCTCCCACAACAAGCAACGGACGTTCAGCCCCGTAGGTTGACTGATATTAATCGCGGGCTTAATCAGTTGGAATGGCGTATTCCTTTGTAAGTTCTTGTTTAGTGGGATTTCACTTTTTAGGATGAAATTTACCCCTTTGAATTGTGATTTGTTGAGCTTGTTGTTTGTCTGGCTTTCTTTCTTGGATTAAGAAAATGAAATTTTATTTAAGCTGAATTTACCGAGTATAATCGATTGGATTTTTCTGGGAGTTAATTAGAAGCAGAAAAAGGATAATTGTTTGTTAAATAGCTCATGTTTCCTAGGATGATTTTGAAATACTTTAGATTTTTCTGTGATTCATTTACTTTTGCATTGGTTTGGTTGGATTAACTTGAAGCTTGTTGGGAGGGACTGAACTCAATGGATTTTGGCCATTTTGTTTGCATTTGGGAGTTGAGTTTGATCATTGAAGTACTTCCTAATAAGAATACATATATATATGTATGCATATGTTTTGATAAAAGAAGAAGCTTTGTTAAGATAAGAAGAAAAATAAATACAAAGAATTGAGGGTAAGAAATTCTCCTACTTGTAACAGGCTATAATGAGCAGCACAAAGGAAAGGAAAATATAATACATAGATCTTAAGCTCCCAAAGTTATAATCTCCTAATTCCTATGGAGGTAAAAAATAGTTATATCTGAGAATTTTCCATTCACCTTAACCGATAACGTTGCCAAAGAAGTCATTTTCTCCCATCAAGCCAAAAAGTCCATAGACATGAAAAATTTGCCCCTTGCCTTTTGTTTCCATTCTCACCCTATCACCTCTCATATATGCACCTGCGAGGCTCTCAATTGGAGGTGTAACCCACTAAATGCCAAAAAGACTAAACATTTTAGTCTACATCTTTCACGCAGTCTCACCATGAATAAATAAAGAGGAATATGTTTCTCTTCCTCTAAAGCACATAACACAAATGTTGGGAGATAATGCATGATGAGCACATTGGATTTGTAGTATCCCATTAGTGTTATGCTTCCGATGCATGTTTTTCTAAGGAAACACCTTTGCCTTTGCTGAAATTGGCGGTCCTGAAAACACTTTGGCAATGTGGGTGTTAGCGGGAGGTATGGTGTTTAATGAGGTGTCAAAAATAATTTACATGTGTATTCCCTCCCTAATGCATCCAAAGACCAGATCATAGTATCATGCTAAGGAGAATGTGAATAAGTTCTAACAAGGTTAGTCGGGTTTGCATTTCATAGATCTCACTATCGAATAGGTTGCGAGTAAAATAGAAGGTCTAAGCAACACTCCCCTCATGATTGGAAATGAATTCAGAAAAATGGGGTATTATGTTTTGATGAAAGGTTAAACAGTCTACAAAATTGTTTTCCTACCCAAATGTCTTCTCAAAATCTCACTTTAGTACCATCTCTCACTTTGAGTTGTTTTAAGGGAAGGAACAATGGAAATGCTTGGGAGATGACTTTCCAAGAACTACGGTAGGATATGGTTCTACCAACTGGGGCATCCCAACCATCCCTGCCACTCCCATGGATGCTACTAATCAGTCTGTGCCACAAAGATTTTGATTCCTGTGGAAAATGCCAAAGCTACTTAGCCAATGGAGATCAATTTTTAGAAAAATTCTCAATTCTCAATCATCCCAAACTCTTGTACTGATGGTACGGATCCCAACTAACTAAATTTCATGGTTTCCCTCCACAACTCCCATAAAAATCTCCTCATACGACTCTCTGATCTTTTTGTCAATCCTGTAAGAATCCTGAGCAAGGATAAGAAATAAAATGGGGTAGGGGATAGACATGGGTGGATCAAAGTAGCCCTATCTCCTAGAGAAATCAATACCCCTTTCCAACTCTGTAGCCTTTTAGCTACCTTGTTATCTACCCCTTCCCAAAAGGATTTATTCTTTGGGTTGCCCCCTAAAGGCACTAGGGCCAGTCGCTCCTAGTGCATCCGATTGACTCCACTAGACCGGATATTGTTGCGTCATCCACATTAACTCCATTTAGACTACTTTTCCCCAAGTTATCTTTAGCCCTAAGATCTGCTCAAAAACTTGAATAAAAATAATTGTGTTCCTAGTTTGACCTATCATCATCTTTCAAAGACAGGATTGTGTTATCAATAAATTGTAGGTGTGATCTCTCCACTCTATCTCAACCACTAATTCCCTCACCGTATTTCTCTCTATTGCACTTGTCATCATCCCGCTTAGTATATCAGCCACTAGAGTAAACAAAAATAGAGAGAGAGTATCGTGGACCTGGCAATTAACAAGTATCGGGGACCTGGCAATTAACGAGTATCGTGGAATAGACTGATGGTAGGCATCCATGAATCCAGCTTCTCTACCTTGTACCAAATCTTTTGCACGGCTTAACTCTATCAAGAAATCTCTTGTGAACCTCATCTTAGGTGTTCTCACAATTTAGCTTAATAATTAATCCTTTCTCTTTAGATCTACTTATAAAATCCACAATTTCTTTACCACTAAAGATGCATCAAGCATTTGTCTGCCCCTCAAAAAGGTGTTTGTTAAAGGAAATTGTATCATCCTCTCACTAAGCTTTAGAGAAAGTATCTTAATGATGATCTTGTACACACTTCTCACTAAACTTTTTGCGTGGTAATCGGGCACCTTTCTAGACTTGTCTGTTTTGGGGATTAATGTGATGAAGGTGGCATTCATATGCTTCCTATAATGGCATTTAAATAGAATTCTTCAAACACTTCCATTAAATCGTTTTTTTTCATTTCCTAACAACTCTCGAAGAACTCTATAAAAAACTATATGGGCCTAATGTCTTCTCACTCCCCAACTCCCATATTGCCCACCTTATTTCCTCCTCATCGAATGGGTCTTTCCAAACAATCTACCTCATCCCTACTAATAGACTCTCAATCAATGCCCTCAAGGAAAGGTCTGTGTTTCACATCTTCAGTGTATAACTTTCAGAAGTTACTGAATTATTTCTAAGCCATCCTTCGAATATAAATATTGAGTTAATTTCTGAAGGTCTACTAGGAATATATTAAAAAAGGAATGTGATTTGCAGGGGGGAGAGACACACTCCTACCTGTTTGTACATTGTGATACTTCTTGGAGCTTTTGGGTGAAGTTGATAATGGTATTTGGTATTTACTGGGTGACCCCTTCTAGTCGGAGAGCTTCATGAGCTCTTATCTTAAGGGGAAGGGGGTGGTCTAGCAGCTAAACCCCTTTATAGAGGGGCCCTTTTTTTCAGGGTTGTGGAGCATATGGCGTATGATGAACTCAGACTTTTATTGACCGAGCTGCATCATCCTAAGAGTTGTAGGAAAGCACTACTTTTTGGGCTACATTTTGGTTAAAGCTCATGGTCACTATTTCCACCACAAGCAATAATGAGCTCATAACCATAATGCTTTTATAGCATTTAGAACTTTCCCCATCTATATATTACTACTTCTTACTACAGATTGTCTGTGTTTCTTTATTTTTTGCTATGTCATTATGCGCAGGATGTTTGTTCTCCTTGATTGTATTTTTTATTTATCTTTCTTTCTCTAATAAAGCTTTTTATTTTTTTAAAAAGAATGTATTTGAAAAGGAAAGAGGAGATACGATATCACATAGCATAATAGGAATTTATTTAAGAAATTTGCTGTTGATTTATTTATTAGTTTATTATTTAAGTGTCTTATTAGAGTTAGAAGTTTATTCTTATTGGTATTATTTTCTGTTTGTACTAGCCTTAGTATTTCCAATTCTACTAATTTACTATTTGCTAGTTTCTTTATAGCTAGAAAAAATTACTTAGAACTTATTATAAATAGCTTTTTTTTTTTGAAATAAAAGTGTGGAGTTGTATTGATATTAGAGTGTCAAGGGGGCACAACCCATTTACAATGTATTTACAAGTCGATCAAACTATCGATAATAAAATCAAGATCATCGAGACAGTCGATATTATGTCCCAAAATAATGGAACCAAAATAGTGAAACCAACAATCAATGATTTTGTTGAAATCAAGTTCTATTGCTTCAAAAGTGCAATTGTTTCTCTCTTTCCAATGGAACCATATTATGGTGAGTGAGATTAATCTTAACATTTTTTTTTTTGCTGCTGATGCCTTTCCATGCTAGGAGTTCTGCATGTATGTTGTTGTTCATGACCCAAGACAGCCCCATAAGTCTAATAATGGTGTTACATAGGTGCTGTGAAACCGAACAGGCTGAAAGCAGGTGGTTATAGGTTTCAAAATTGTTTCTACATAGGAAACATCTATTGACAATCGTCAAACCTCTTTTCATTAGGTTGCCAAGGGTGAGAATGCGCCTTTTGTAGCTTCCCAAGAAAAAATGAGATTCTTGGGATTTCATCTGATTTCCATATTACTTTAGAAGGGAAGTTAATGTTATTCTGATTAAGATTGTCCGCTAAGTGGTTGTAGAGAGATCTGATAGTAAATGTACGATTTTTGGAGAGTAGCTATTTTAGATTTTTCTCTCTGTCATGGACTTGAATTGAAGACAGAGTGTGTAGTAAGGAGAAATATTCCTTTAACTCTCATTTTTGTAAGTTTTTTAATACTGACACTTGCCAAAGGTCTGGGTTATCAAGAATCGCATTATCTTTAACTAAAATATTTTTGTGCCTGGCGACAACATAAATAAGAGGGAATCTTGTTTGAAAAGTAACTTATTATCAATGGCTTGTGATTGAATCTAACTTGAGTATCTTTTATTTCATTATATTTAAGATTCTGGGGCGATCTAGATATTCGTGACGACCGAGAGGAGTGACAACTGGATGAGAGAGAGGTTTGACCAGCTGTTATAACTAACCAAGAGAAGACAATATGGTGTAGGCCGATCATCCTTGCACGACCAACATCGTCGCTAAAGGGGGGCTGTCGGAATGGTCATTCAGGATAGAAAATTTTTGGCCATTGAAAGAAAGATTTTTGATGTCATCTATGACGGGAAAAATCGGAAGGAATAAGGGTGAGTGAGAATGGAAGGAGTTTTAGGGTTTCAATCTCTTTTTGGAAGAAGAAGTGGACTGGTAGCTGGGAGTTTTACACTAATTTTACTGTATTAAAGGCGAAAATCTATGGGGCCGGAACAAGATGGGAAAGAGCCACAACTTGTGGATGGCCAAGTGCAAGAACAGGAGGGGAAGGCTCTTGATCTT